GAACTTCGAGCCGAGTCCCGCCGTCGCGTCGAGGGGAAGGCAGCGGTATTGGTACCTCTTCTTGCTCTGATTGCCTCTCCCCTGCCCGTTCCTCCCAGGACAAAACAACAATACCGATACCACGATGTAATTATTCCACGGCTCTCTGCAGGGGTGCGCCCTGGCCAGAATTACGAGGCGAATCCAGCCGTCGGGACAGGGGAAGCGCAGCGGTATCGGTACATCTGCCTCCTCGTCCTTGCCTACCCCCTTCCCGTCCCCCTCGAGAACCACGGCGCGCGCACCTTCCCGGGGGGCATGTCCTTGGTGGCCCATGGCAGGACGCCGTCATCGAGGAGGGTTATCAGGCCGGTCGGGCCGTCCAGCAGCCCCGAGCAGTTGGAGTTGAAGACGATCCGCCGCCGCGCCTCTGGCACGCGCAGCTGGTGCGCTGCGATGCCTGATGGTCTCCGTGGACCAGCGTCTAGGGACGCCATCCACCGGCGACGCAACGAATGGGTTCGACCAACTCGTGAGGGCCTCCGGGCGCCTCCGCTGTGCTCGGGGATGGTCCCCGTGGGCTGGTCTGTGGGACCCTCGTGGGACCCTCTTGGGGGGTCTGCTGGGCCGCCTGGGGTTCCCCAAGGGCTTGGCTCAAGGGAGTGGCATATCGCTACCGAAGCTGCCACCAGTGGTCGTGTACATTCGCATTCATCGCCTTTCTGGCCTCGAGAGGCGTCCAAGACGCCTCAGGCGAAGGCGGGGCTGACGGCGATGTTGCTTAACGGTGATGTTGGGAACCAGAAGTGTAGGAAATCACGAACCACATGTTCCTACATGTCCGATCTGCGAATGGATCGAGCGAACACGACACAGCGAATTGCAGGAAAGCGCGAACCACGCGTTCCCACAGTACCGAAACTTACATCGCCGTTACCTACATCGCCGTTAGCCCGTCTACTGTCAGGGGGCGCACAGTACGGCCCCGAGACGACCTCCGAGACCCCAGCACGGGCCGAGGGGAGTACGAAGAGCGCCCGACTGGTGCCCGCGTGCGGACACTAGGAAGCATGGCTGCATGGGCCAATTCTCCACCACCACCACTACCATAGGTAGGACGGGGGAGGTCCTCCTCCTCCTCCTCCTTCTCCTCCTCCATGCCCCCCATGTCCTCCATGTCCTCCATGTCCTCCTCCTCCTCCTCCTCCTCCTCCTCCTCCTCCTCGTATTCCTCCTCCTCCTCCTCCTTCTCCTCCTCCTCCTCCTCCTCCTCCTCTTGCTCCTCCTCCTCCTCCTCGTCCTCCTCCTCCTCCTCGTCCTCTTGCTCCTCCTCCTCCTCCTCCTCGTCCTCTTGCTCCTGCTCCTTCTCCTCCTCCTCCTGCTGCTCCTCCTGCTCCTCGTCCTCCTCCTCCTCCTCCTACTACCTATAGTAGCGGTGGCGGAACATCGACCCTTCATGGTTGGGAAGCTGGCCTCCCGTCCTCGACGAGATGTTCCCAAGACTCCCACCAGGCCTCCCGGGATACGACCCCCAATAGGCCCCCGAAGCACCCCCCCGACGAGCCTCCAACACATTCCCCATAGGCCCACGCCCCAGGGAACTGCAAAAACATCCCAGCCGTGCTCCCCAGAGCACGGCCGAAACTGCCGAAGGAAAATCGGCGAGATGAACTCGCCCGAGGAAGCTGCAATAATGATATCCACAACTGTGCTTCCAGAAGCCCTCCACCGGAACACTCTAGGAGCATAGCTTTTCATGCGAATCGAAAGTCTGAGACGCACACATATGCACATACAAATGCACACATACGCATATATATATATATATATATATATATACGTTATATATATATATATATATATATATATATTATGTACATCTCACAACCCAGAAAGTCGCAGTGTTCCGACTGCTCCCAGCTGTATTCCAGAAAACCTTCGATTGGAATTATAAGGGAACGTGGACATGGAAGTTCTGTCGGTTGAGCCTCGTAGCATAGCGCCACCGAGACCACAGCCAAGGCATGGTGCAGGGATGGGCCAAAGGCCAATGGATAACGTCGATGATACCCGTCAACTGCATCAATATGTTGTCGTTGGGGTCGTAGTGGTGGCCACCCGGCGAAGATCCGAGCCACAAGAATTCGTGCCTGTGCATGACCTCGTCCTCCATTCCCAAATCGCGGGCAAAATGGAGATGCTTTGCGATTTCTGGCAAGCGCCGCAGGTTTATCTCCGAGGACGGAATCGTCTGGTTCTTTGAACGGTACGAATAGAACTCATCCCATCTCTCCTGCGGAACATCGCTTGTATAAGGCCACAAGAACACCTCCTTACGGAAATTCTTCTCCCACCGTGCAACCTCTGTCAGTGAAGGAAAATCGCCGCACTGCCCCTCTAGCAACCATGGGATCAATGTCCGCGCCGCCAACTGAACCAGATCGCTATGCGGGCCACCCCAGGATGGCATCCTGTTCGTTAGCTCCATAATGGCCTGGTGGCACCGGAGGTAATGCCCATAGAACAAGCCCTGGTTTACAGGGATTTTATCTGCAATGTCAGCATGCAGGTCTTTGATCTTGTTGATATTGATGCCGAACAACCACGATGGCAAAAGCTTCGCGGCGTTGAAGCGTACCACTTCCCCACGCGTAAATGCGTCCCTGATCTCTGAAATCTTGACGGTCCTCTCTTCCAGTGGGCGAACACCGAACTTGTTGTAGGGCCCAGCATCGATGTTCACCTGGCGAATTATCAGACACGATGTCAGCGCGTGGATCCGAAACACTTGCTTCGTGTAGCCATGTGCGTGGATACCCGTGCGCGCTGAGCAGGAGTGTGACACACAGCAGGCGCGTGTATAACTACACCGCACGCGTGGAACGAGCATGTGCAACACCCTGTGTCTAGAATCCTGCGTGCGGCACCCTCGCAACCGTCTGCACGTGGAGCCGCACGCGTGTGGAGCCTCACTCGGCAGCAGCTTTCACAGGCGCCCGGCTTGCCCATGCTTCCCGGGGGGCAGGCGGCGCCCCCCCCCCCCCCCAGAGAGTGCGGACCCCCCCCTCCCCATCGAGGGAACCTCCCCCTTCGGTTCCCCCCCGCCCCTTGAGGCGAGAGGGGGGATGGGAGACCGCCCTCTCTCCCCCCCTGCGGGGGGTGGCCGAACGGCCCCCTCCCCCTCCCGATCCGTACTCGCCTTGCGGTCCAGACGCATCTCGCAAACTCGACGGTACCTCCCCCTTACGGCGGCAACGACAACGACGACGGACGGCGTCGATGGCGACGACCGCGACGTCGACGGCGACCGCGACGCGGAGAATAACAACGGCGAGAACGGCGGCGATGGGAGCGAGAGTCACGACCAAAGCGCTCGCCGCGGCGAGCGAGCGAGAGGAGGGGGAAACGGGGCCACCTGTATACTCACCTTGTTACAAGTGTGGGTTTGGGGAGAGGGGGGGGGACACATGCAGCGCCCCGCAAGCGCTCCCCGCCCACCGCGCGAGTTTCGCGGACAGGGGGCGCTCTTCAACCCACTCCTGCTGCGAGGCGCGGGCTGGGCCTCTCCTTAGGACCCCGGGCGCGGGGAAGTGGAGAGGCCCCCTCTACTTGAACCCCAGCTCCAGACCGTCTGCCCAGGGGGGGGCATCCCCACGTTCCAGACCACCTCCCCACCCGAGCGACACCGAAAGACGATCTTCTCACTGTTCTGACACCCTGTGCCAGTGGAGCTTCTATGTGCGTGGGTGGGTGTGGGAACCAATGTGTGTGGATCCTTCTGTGTGGATCCCTGTGTGTGTTTCGAAGCTCTATGTGTGCGTGGGGCCCATTGCGTGTGGACTCGATGTCTGAAAAGCCATGGGTGTGGAATCCCGTCGGTGCGAAACCCCTGAACATATGAATACAGTGCGCACGGAACGCCATGCGCGTGCAACCCCACGCGCACAGGGTACACGCGTGTGTGTGTGTGTGTGTGTGTTTGTGTGTGTGTGTGTTTGTGTTTGTGTTTGTGTTTGTGTTTGTGTTTGTGTTTGTGTTTGTGTTTGTGTTTGTGTTTGTGTGCGTGTGCGTGTGCGTGTGCGTGTGCGTATGTGTCTGTGTCTGTGTCTGTGTATGTGTGTATGTGTGTGTATGTGTGTATGTGTGTATGTGTGTGTGCGTGTGCGTGTGCGTGTGCGTGTGCGTGTGCGTGTGCTTGTGCGTGTGCGTGTGCGTGTGCGTGTGCGTGTGCGCGTGCGCGTGCGCGTGCGCGTGCGCGTGCGCGTGCGCGTGCGCGTGCGCGTGCGCGTGCGCGTGCGCGTGCGCGTGCGCGTGCTCGTGCGCGTGCGCGTGCGCGTGCGCGTGCGCGTGCGCGTGCGCGTGCGCGTGCGCGTGCGCGTGCGCGTGCGCGTGCGCGTGCGCGTGCGCGTGCGCGTGCGCGTGCGCGTGCGCGTGCGCGTGCGCGTGCGCGTGCGGACGGTGTGTGTGTGTGTGTTGTGTTTTGTGTTTTGTGTTTTGTGTGTGTGTGTGGTGTGTGTGTGTGTGTGTTGTGTGTGGTGTGTGTGTGTGTGTGTGTGTGTGTGTGGGGGGGGGGGGCGGGGCGTGCGTGCGTGCGTGCGTGCGTGCGTGCGTGCGTGTGTGTGTGTGTGTGTGTGAGTGTGTGTGTGTGCGTGCGTGCGTACGTGCGTGTGTGGTGCCTTGCGCAGTAGGTCGCGAGATTGTCTGGTGCAGGACGGGTTGCGCGGTGGGTTGCGGTGGTTGCGCGCCACGGTCTCTGCACCGTTGGCCGTGGCGACACCGGCTTTACTCTATGGCAAATTACTTGGAACCCCAATAAAAACCTTGAATTGTAGCATTGCTTCGGGGTGAAGCTACGCAAGAAAACAT